TGCTCCTTAGAAGCCAGGATGGTGGTACTTTGTCTTTCAAACTGTGGACATGTTGTCAGCAGGGACCAGTCCCTGGAGAAGGACGTTATGCTTGGTAGAGTGGAGGGTCAGCGAATAAGGAAGACCCCCAGATGGGTTGGCAGCAACAAATGGGCTCAAGTGTAGCGACAATTGTGAGGATGGCACAGGACTGGGTAGTATTTCATTCTGTTGTGTATGGGGTTGCTAGGAGTTCATTCTGTTGTGTATGGGGTTGCTAGGAGTCGAAGCCTATTTGACAGCACCTAACAACAACAGCTTAGTTATCAATGGCCTAGCTACAGGCCATCTGTATGGACACACATGTACACATGCATCAATGATGGCAGTGGCTGTGTACCGTGGAGTCGGTTCCAACTCATAGCGACTCTGTATAGGGTTTCCAAGGTGTAAATCTTTATGAGAGCAGAGCTCCTCATCTTTCTCCCGCGGAACAGCTGGTAATTTCGAACTACTGACCTTAAGGTTTGTAGCCCGATTCGTAACCATTATGCTACCAGAGCTCCTTACATGCATGGATAGAGAGAAGTATATCTGTTTTGTACAAATACAAGGAAAAACATCCCTGCTACAGTCCTGGTATGGCGCTGTGGGTTAATGTCCCAGACTGCAAAGCTGTTTGAACTGCAAGGTTGGCGGTTCAAGCTTACCAGCTGCTCCTCGGAAACCCTATACAGGGTCACTATAGGTTGGAACCGACTCGATGGCACTTAACAACAACAACAACAACAACAACAAACAGTTTAATAGATGAAGCACTCAGCTTGGGAAAAGAATGCTCCATGTAGTTAGGTCAAATTCAGCAGGCACTCAGTAAATCCAGATGTTTGGCAGTGTATAGGAAATAGTATCTGGATGATTGATATGGACTTTCAACTGAACTCACTGGGTCTGGCAACATACTCACACAGCCTTTAATGGCTCTCTGCCTCAGTTTGCCTAGCTATAAAAAGGGACAAACACTTGTATACCAGGGGACAATGAAAATGAGATAATATCCAAGAATAACAATGAGTTCTTGAAAAAACCATGAGCCTGTCATACCAACACATCTTACACAATTTGTGACTGGATTTTTTTCGATCTTTCTAAGCAGGTAGACTTTTAGGAAAAGGCATCATTTTGAAATATGGTTAAATGCTATACAAATAGAAGGTGCTATCATCAGCAACAATATCATCATCATCATCATAGCATTATTTTTTATGATTTCCCCATAATGTCTCACTTTCAGATTGGATCATGGCCAAAATAGGGATTTTCTTTAAGGACGGCCAAAAAAATGTGTTTGGGACACTTAAATCTACTTAAAGGAGAAAAACGAAGCCGTGTGGGTGTTTTGAGTTAAATCAATTATGATAGCTCAACTTAAACAGGTCAAACTGGTCTATCAATGAGAGTTAGTTGTTTGCTCAATGGTATTTACAGGAGAACAGACAGAGCTCACACACATGTACATGTATTCATGGACCAAAAATAGGGAAAAGGAATTGTACTAACGATCTTGCTGATTTTGACTCCATGAGCTGATATGAGCTTTTGTACCAGGAAGTCAAAAATGAGGAAGCAATACAGTAGAAAAAAAAATAAAGATGCACAAAGGGATTTGCACCCATAGAAAACTTGGGGAGCAGAATTAGAATGGTGAGAAGTACAGGAACACTGCTCCCTTTCAAACTCAAGTCCTGCCAGTAGAGAAAATCCTGAGAAGAATCATCACAATAGGTGTTTATTAGGTGCCTTGCATATACATGCAATTATATATATAATGCAGAATTTTATATACACAATTACATGTAAGATGGGCTTGAAAAAGTTCATGGAAAAATCCAATGAAAAGGTATTGACATTTTTCCATGAACTTTTTGAAGCTCCCTCATACACATTTCTAATCCTTACAGTAACTTTCCAAGGGAGGTTAAATGCTGTGGAGTCCTGGTGTAAGATAAGCACCCAACCATAACGTCTGTTAGAACTACAAGGTCAGTGGTTCAAGCTCACCAGCCACTCCTCAGACACCCTATACAGGGTCGCTATGGGTCAGAACTGACTCAACAGCAATTAACAACAATAACAACAACAAAAATATACAAAGTAGGAGTCCAAGTGTAGCGCTGTAGGATAAGCACTAGACTGCAAGTCGGTTTGAGCCACAAGGTCAGAGGTTGAAGTTCACCAACTGCTCCTAGGAAACCCTTACATGATTGCTATGCGTCAGGACACTCTACGGCACTTAACAACAACAACATATACAGAGTAAGTTCCAGAATTGAATTCAGATCCATATGGACCTAAAGCTCATATGTTTCCCAATATCCCATAGTCTCTCCTAGTATTATTATCAGACACCCACAGTCTGGACTGAGAGGACTGTTGTTGTTGTTGTTAAGTGCTGTCGAGTCGGATCCGACCCATAGCAACCTTGTACAGCGGTTCCAAGGCTGTAAATCTTTATGGGAGCAGAATGCCTCATCTTTCTCCCACGGAGCGGCTGGTAGTTTCGAACTGCTGGCCTTAAGGTTCGCAGCCCGATTCGTAACCACTACGCTACCAGAGCTCCTTACTGAGAGGACTAGCTGTAAATATTTCTAATGATTGCTCATTTTTGATGTTGCTTTATCTTTCTTGAAGTTGTGTTTCCAGGTGATAACCATTTATTGGTGTTTGGTTATTCTTATGACGGCCACTCCCTGGCTGTTGTTGTTAAGTGCCATTGAATTGGTTCCAACTTATAGTGACCCTGTCTAGGGTTTCCGAGGAGCAACTGGTTGATTTGAGCTTCTGACCTAGTGGTTAGCAGTCCAGTGCTTATCCTACAGCGCCATGCCAGGACTCCTATCTTTACCTACTCCAACTCTATTCGTTGTTGATAGCAGATCTTGACACCTGCTCCTCTGTGGAATCCTTCTTGCACTAGCCTATGCCACCAGAGGTCTTAGCAAACCACCCCCAGAGATGAAGGACACCAATAGTCTGCAGGCTTTTCCCACAGGCTGCCTCTTTCTTCTTTAGTGAACATCTTCCTATACTCAGAAGGAAAGCAGCTTAGACTTCTTCTGTGTCCCCAAAGCCCTTGGCAACTGGCTAAGGTTTGTTGTCCAAAGAGGACTGCTGACACTACTCCTCGTCAGGATTAGGGGGCACAGTGACGGACCCTGAGATTTTGGTTGTACCAATGCTGGGGTCTATCCAGTTGAGTAGAGCCGCCTCTGGTTTGAAATCACTGGAAGGCATGCAATCAAATTACTACCATTGTCCCCAGGCAAAGCAAGCTATGCCCTCGGTTTAGCAGTAAAAGTGGTTTGTTGTCTTCTGCTCTGAAGACTTCAGAAATGAGTTTTCAAATGATCAGAAGGTATCTAGCAAGGTCATAGAGAAGTCAGTGAGGCAACACGGTCACCGAAGGAATCATCAGTTAGGTAAATTCTGTCTTTATCCTCTGCTCAGCAGCAGTGCCAGCTGTTTATTAAGTGCTCAGTGAGTGCAAAGCACTTTATTAGGCACTGGAGGAACTATACCCAAGCATGTTGTAAATATGGTCACAATGTAATTTGCAGTGAACAATGCTGTTATCAGAAAACCCTTCCAAACGGTTTCTGGAAACCACAAAAATGTCTCTGCTAAACTTTATGTGAAGAAACACAATCATGCCAATGTCTTCATACAGAAACCTCTGTCCTTGCATAAGGATCTCAGTGTCATCAAGTTTCTCCTAATCTTGTGGTATTGTAGGATAAGCATTTAGCCCCAAGGTTGGTTTGAACCCCAAGGTTGGTGGTTCAAACTCACCAGCGGCTCCTCAGAAACCCTATACAGGGTCATCGTGGGACGGAATCAATTTGATGGCAGTTAACAACAATAACAAATGTATCTTCAACATTTGTTGAAACACTAAACTACTAGCCATAGGGTCAGAGGTTCAAACCCTCTAGCCGCTCTTTAGAAACCCTATACAGAGCCTTGCTATGAGTTGGAACTGGCTCTATGGCAATTAACAACAACAACAACCAATGTACAAATAGAAACCAATGGTGCCCAGGCCCTCCCCATCCATGGATCATGGAACAGAAATGCTTTCACTCTGGCATATGGTGACATTTTAGGAGGCTTTTTTTTTTTTTTTTAAATTGTTGTCGCAAAGCAATCACAAGCAGATGCTACAACTCACTTCTATTTGTGTCTGTCACCAAGGGCCTTCCGAGAGGAGAAACTATGTGTACAAGTCAAAGGACTTGATGGCTGTCTGTGTAGATGGCAGTGAGTCAGAATCTGGCAAGGGTGCAGGGAAATGGTGCTGGAGGTAGTGACAACTGAAATACTCCCGTTGGGAAACCATTTGGAAACATACATTAAAATGTGTATATTCTTTGACCCAATAGCTCCATTATCTTTAAAATCAAAGAAGATCAAGAGAAAGCATGTTCCAGTAAGAGGTTGCTTTACTTATGAATGTCCAGCAGAAGCAGACTGATGAATAATAAGGAATACTTGATGGAGACTATGCAGCCATGCAAAAGGATTCATAGGAAGAGGCGTGGAAACACGGAGATGTATTTCCAATACAGAGTTAACATTGAGGATTGGGACTCATTTGTCTACTTCCAATTATGTAAAGAACCTGAGTGTGGTTTTCCAGGCAAATACTTAAAGAGAATATGTAAAAATGAAACCAGTGGTGAGAGAATTATTTCCCCTCTATTCTTTAATATGGAATCCTGGCGTTGCGCTGTTATATAAGCACTGGACTGCACACCTCAAAGTCAGCAGTTCAAACCCACCAGTCGTTTCTCGGAAAACATAAACAGGGTCACTATGAGTCAGAATTGAATCAATGGCACTTAACAACAACATTCTTTAATATTACAACTTTGTCCTTGCATTTAAAAGCAGAATAAAAGGAGAGGGTCAGAAGTCCTTTATAGTATATATAAGCTTTCATTTTTGTTGGGTATACCACATACCTGATTAATGTGCTTCAGTTTGTCAATAATTTGACTGACTACTGGTTCAGGGCCCTTCATTTTCAGCTCATGGAGGTTGAACTGATTCTTCATTCCATTCCTTGCTGCCTTTTGGCTGTATCTGAAAGATGAAAGTAAAGAAAAGGTTTGTCACAAGAGAGTACCAAGAGAAGTGCAAGCCAACTGTGGCACTGACGATCCAAATGACCACAAAAACCTTCGGCTCCATGAAATGACCCATGGCGGAAAAGTAGGTCATTCCAGATGAGTTCTATTTGCAGTGGAAACCATTCATTCAATAGTCAGCAAATGTCAATGCAACAACGAACAAGATGGACAAGGTCTCTTCCCTTACTGTAATCTCAGTCTAGTGGGAAGTGGAGAAGAAGAGCCAATGACAGTGCAGAGTGACAAGAGCCAGGATCCTGACCAATGAAGCACACACTAATGACCTTAACTTCAGTGTGCTTTCTACTCATTGGAAGGAGAAGGCAGGGCATAGGACCAATATCTATCTCTCGCGTGTTGGATTTCAGTCATAGGAGAAACAGGAAGCAGGACCCTGCTCACATAAGATGATGTACACTATCTTTGGGACTGGCACTGCAGTTTCAGACCACTGCATTACAGTTATTACCCATCTTGCAAAGTAAAACACAAACAAAAAGAAGAAAACAGGTTGAATTTCTTTCTTTCTCTTCTACTATTCTGATAAGGAGCTCTGGTAGCGTAGTGGTTATGAGTTGGGCTGCCAATCTTAAGGTCAGCAGTTCGAAACTCCCAGCAGTTCCGTGGGAGAACGATGAGGCGTTCCGCTCCCGTAAAGATCTACAGCCTCAGCAACCCAACACAGGGGCACTATGAGTCAGAACTGACTCCACGGTACTTAACAACAACAACTGTTCTGATAGAAATACCATAGCAATACTAGCAATGAGGAAAGTTGTTTCAGCTTTTTTTTTGGTTATTACTTCTTGCGATCTATTAATAGTGTGTGTTATTGAAGAAATGGGACGATTCATAGGTCTTTTGTCCTGTCTTTATAAATTTTTGTTTTTTTTAAAAAATTTTTATTACTATTATTAGGCAATCAGGGTTAAGGATAGGTTCATAATTCTCTTACTGATGTTTTTAATTAAAAAATAATAAAGTCCATTGTAAATCATTCAAACGATATAGAAATAAAGCATTAAGTAAAAACTTCCCCAGCATCTTATCTCTCCAAGAATGAACTGTGGTTAACAATTGGCTATATATTCTTCTAGGAGTTGTCTTATGCATATACTAATACCTAATTTAACCAAAATCATAATCATATGATTCATATTGAGTTACAACATCTTATCACTTACAATTTATATCTTGGACATCATTTTCATGTCAGAATATATAAAGTTACGTCATTTTTATTCTTTGTCTGGCTATATATGATTTCTTTATACAATCCCTTACTCATAAACTATAGATTTACTTCTTTTATTTTGCTAATATAAACAACCCTGCAAAGCACATCCCTGGACACAAACCCTTACACAATTCCAAGAATTGCACCCATCCATATTTGTTGTTGTTATGTGCCGTGGAGATGGTTCTGACTCATAACGACCCTGTACAAGGTTTCCTAGGCTATAAATCTTTCGAACTCCTGACCTTAAGGTTCACAGCCCAATTTGTAACCACTACGCTACCCATTCATATTGATAATCCCAAATTATGAAGTACAACAAAGAACTGAGACTAATGTATTTTCTTTCTCCAGCATCTCACAAAGTGGTTTCCTAGCTTTTCAACGACACTGTGAGATGGATAGGGCAGACCTCCTCATATCTTTATGACTGAAGACTTCACAACCTCTGAAGACACTGGTCTGATTCTGTGAGGTGTCCACTTCCATGAGATGTTCCAGATCTGCCCATGCCCAGAGTAAGGGCATGCCTTGAACAACATGCAAGGCAGCAGACAAGGGACAGTAGACTTTTTCAGAATTGAAATTCATCCCCTGAGCAGGCTGAAGAGCACATCTTATTGTATTCCTTCTCAGCTGATATCCTAACATGTTCAGCTCATTAAACTTTAAAAATTAATTTTTAAATGAAGAATGTGACTCAGTCATCAAAAAGAGGAGGAAATCCTGAGACAACATAGATGCTGGGCAACCTTAAGCTGAGTCAAGTCAGTCAGACCCAATAGGACAAATATGGAATTACCCCCATTGCTGTTACGTGCTGTTGAGTTGGTTCTGACTCACAATGACCATGTATAAAGTTTAAACCGCTGACCGTGCAGCTAGTGGTCCAGTGCTTATCCTACAGCACCACACCAGCATTTCTGAATGACCCTACGTTATATGAAATAACAAGAATAGGCAAATGTTTAAGGGCAACATTTACCCGAGGACAAATTTCAGAAGCATGGGAAACAGAGGAGGAATAGAAACAGGAAGCACGGGGAGGAAGTGGGATAAGTGATATTACAATGAGGAGACTGCAATCATCGAGATGAAATGCAATGTATAGGATTTGCTGAATGTAAAACTGATGATCTGCTCTGTAAATCTTCATTTGATTGCACAATATAAAGCTGAAATTTTAAAAAGAGGGGGGAGGGGACGAATGTTGAGAGGCCACAGTTTATTAGTGCATACCAGGGTCATGGGGGAGGCATGGTGGCTCTATATGGAAAGCACTGGACTCTAAACTTCAAGGTCAGTGGCTTGAGCCCACCAGGCGTCCATAGGAGAAAGATGAGGCTTCCTGTTCTCACAAAGATTTAACTTTAAAGCCTGGGAAACCCTACGTACAGGGTCACTATGAGTCATATCTGAATTGATGACACTTAACAACACAACAACTAAGGTCAGGTGGGAAGGAGTAGGAAAGGGGCTTAGGAAGCAGTTGTTGTTGTTAAGTGTCATCGAATCGGTTGACTCATAGTGATCCTGTATAGGGTTTCTGAGGAGTGGCTGGTAAGTTTGAACCATTGATCTGGAGGTTCAAACTGACCTTGTGGTCAACTGCTTATCCTACAGTACCACACCAGGACTCCTAGGAAGCAGTAAGTTATTGTTTATGGCGATGGGAAATTTGGCAACGGGTACTGGCAATGGTTGCTAGTCAACAGAATAAATGAAATTGACGACGCTAAACCACATCCTGGTGTGGCGCGAATGTGCCAGACTGCAAAGCTGTTTGAACTGCAAGGTTAGTGGTTCAAGCTCACCAACTGCTCCTTAGAAACAGGGTCGCTATGGGTCAGAACCGACTCGATGGCACTTAACAATAACAACAAACCATACACATGAAAAATGATAAACGGCAAATGTGTGGCATGTTTCTTTATAACAATAAAAAATAAAAAATTAATTAGTGAATCCATTCATCACCAGCCCTTGACTACAGCCTGATTGGGAGCTATTTTAAAGAGATGGAAAGAAATATCCTTCATTAGGTGCTAGCCTCCTCTTTTAGGTTCATAGAAGGTTGTCTCTTTAAGCATTATGCGCTTCCTTAACGAGCCCTACCACACACTTGATCTTTTCTTCCTCCACTCCCACAGATGCCAGAAACAGAGATCCTACCCGCAGTTCAAGAGGTGAGTTTCATTTTAAATCTGACAAAAACTTAGGAATTTGGCCCTAAAGACATTACCTTGGACTTGCCCTTGTCAAAGTTTGTCAGCCACTTTCTGTGCCCACTCCTACAAAAAAAACCATGTTCCTGAAGTCTATTCTCCTCGGTGGAAAAGATGAACGATATCGGCCAATTTAGTGATTTTGTCCTGTACTCCCCTCCTCCAAATTATCTCTAAAGGTGAAATCAGGCTACGTTCACGGTAGATTCCCTAACCGCCCCACTCAACTATTTTCTGCCATTCATAAAAGTACTTCTTCCACTTGAGTTTTAGTCTCTTATCTTCAAGCCATGGAGAAGGAGCCAGGACTAAACAATGTTCCCCAATCCCATGGTGAGTCAATTTTTTAAAAACAGCTTTTGGTTTAAAAGCTTGCCAAAGCCTTCTGAAAGGCGAAATAGCATGCACTGTTAGGCTCTACGCGTGTGCTATTTCAATCCTCAAAGAAGTCTAGTAAATTAAGCATGGTTTCTGGTTACAGAAGTGTTGGGAAGAGCTGTCCTGTGACTTTGGCTGAAAACTTGCCCTTCTTTCATTTATTCTTTGAAGCAGAAATCAACAGTACTAGTTCCATTTATGACTCTAGTTGATACAGTTTAGTGGCATTACTTTAAAACTCTTTTAGGTTTTTGTCACCATCCGTTTAGGTATCTCGCTACCTCTGCCTCAACCCCCAATCTCTTTTTTTCTGTTTCTTACCTCTCTATTTTTACCTAAGGACTAGGCTACGTCAATTCCAACTCACGGTGACCCCACGTGTGTCCGCAAAGAACAACTATGCACCATAGGGTTTTCACTGGCGGGCTTTTTGGAAGTAGACTGCCACGTCTTGCTTCTGAGGTACTTCTAGATGGACTAGAACTCCTAATCTTTTGTTTAGCAGCAAATTGTGTTCACTCCATTTCCACCTTGCTGTTGTTATATGCCTTGGAATCAGTTCCAAGTCATAGCAATCCTGTGTGGGTTTCTGAGGAGTGACTGGTGAGCTTGAACCGTCAACCTTATGGTTCAAACTGACCTTATGTAGAGCCAAATTTTCAAAGCAATGAGTGCTACTGTGGAATACTATGCAGACATTAAGAAGAACAGAGTAGAGACCTACGTCACTGATATGGAAGCAGATCCAAGGTGCAATGCAGCAGCTATGAGGAGCGAAACAGAATACACAGCATGATTCCACCTGTAAAAAGGAATCTGCGCACATAGGCTGAATGGGTGTGGGACGGGGAGTGGAAACCTACCCACTAACGTATAAAGGTAGGACAAAGTGTTCACACTTTGTTGCAAACGTATCTATGAACATGGAAGAGACTATAGGGGGCAGTTATAAAATCTTAGACATTACTAAACACTTCGAGGGAATGAATTGCTGGGCCTGAGGGCTCAGGACCATGGTCTCTGGGAACACCAAGGTCAAGTGGCATAGCATAGCCCACAAGGACAATGTTCTATATTCTACTTTGTTACTTGAGTAGTGACTGGGGTCTTAGA